ACAACTTCTTAGTTGACTTTATCTTCTTGATTTGTCGATTTTACTTTGTTTCCTCAGTTCTCTGGCTTCTGTTCATGGAGAGGTCTTGATAGGCACAATATAAAAATATCTCTTCCTTCATTTGGTATTAACTCATTATTGTAGTTGAGTTGATTAGACACGACAAAGGGCGTTGGCCTTATAGAGCAAATATGGACTATGTCGATCTCTTCTCGGATCTTCTGGCGTACTCCCCGAATCATGCAGATCTTTGACTATATCTCATGATTTGTGACCAATCAGCTTATTTATCTTTACTTACATGAAGGGATGAAAAGAGGAATTATTGAGGGGTCGGCAATTTCCAGTGTAGTGAGATTTGTAATAGATAAGGGGAAAAATAAAGGATGCCTCTGCTTCTGTTAAAGGAAGTGGCTCTTTATCAGTTTTCCCACGTTAGAAAACCGTTATTTTCATACCAAAATGAAAGAATATTTTACTTTATAATTTTAATATTATTTTTAAATTGTTACTTAGACCCAGGGGCTATTCGGATCTCACAAAAAGCACGATGTCTCAGGCTGCATGATATAACCGAGTACTAAAAATTCTCGGCTTTTATGAAACAGATTATACATTCTGTGGAATCTCTATCCTCTATTCTTTCATCAGGAAGTGTTTCTAATATAAAATAAGCTTAGTTTTTCAATATTGAATTTTATTCATGGTTATATCATATTAATTGATGTTTACATAAACATCGATACCATTAATGCCCATTTAACATTGTTGTTGTTTAACAATGGCATTTAAAGATAAAACTGTCAATATTAAAACAAAATATCAGTTGTGATTTTTATTATACAGTACTATATTTCATAATAAATTGCTTATTAAAAATTTGTGTAATTATATTTTTCAATAAAAATTTAAATACAGTAATTGAAAATTTAAAAAAAAAATCTTGAACATATAATAGAACATCAAAACTTATAAAATTAGAGTAAAATAAAGTTACTGCTGTACTGTATAAAAAGTTTTAGAACTTTCTGTTCAGAAATAAAGAAATGTTTTCCTTAAACATTACATGGCAAATTCAAAATTTCACAGAAACTTGTAAATGAGGAGACAGTACTTAAAACTAATAAATAAGCAACTTTTAATATCAAAAGGAAACAAATAATAATTGATCTGTTCTCCTGTTTTGCTCATTTAGTTCTTGATGAATTTATTGTTTCACCTTGCAGTGGTAGTTTCAAGGACAATGTTGGAATAAAATACCATATTTTGTTGCAAAAAGAATTCAATGGTAATTGGTAATTTAAAATTTATTGACTCAAGTGCTTGTAAATTTTGGGGACCAAAAAAAAAAGTGCAATATACGATATAATAAGGGGCTACTGTATTTACATTTTAGATTGCTAGAATACATAAAATATTTATTTGGACACACGCCTTAAGTAAATATTTTAAATGTTATTAATATACAAGAACTTTGGCTAAAGTTCATGTTTCAGCTTGGTAATCAGATTTGTTGATTTCTTAATTATATAGCAAGTTAATTTATAAATTTATTACTGCAAGATTACAAATGGACTTCCACAGAAACTGTAATCTTACACCCCTCTTCCCCTTCCTTTTTTCTATTATGTCACCCCTCTTAACATAGGTATGGAAATCCTTGTTTTAACAGCTGTGGTGGTCAGTTAGCTTGAAGATGCTCATTTAACACAGGCAAAAATGTTAACTTTCTTATGTTCTTGTGCTGCATATTGGTTTATTTTGCCTTTATTTATTATTTAGTTGCTATGCATGTTGTGTTCATATGAAGTAAATAAAAGTCAAAATAAAAAAAAAAATAGAAAAATAACAGTAATGTATTATTTGTAAATACTCTAAAGATTGCATTAGTTTTTATTTGCTTTATTATTATTATTATTATTATTATTATTATTGTGTATTAAAGGAGAAATAAACTTTCTGAACAAGTAGGACATTCTTTATTTTCTAATATAAATAGTTTCTTAAATTATAGAGTCCATTTCTTAATCTCTATCTTTTTATTTCTCTTCAGATTGTTTGAATAAGTTTGTTATTTCTATAGTGAGTGAATGTAATGCAAAACATCTCTTAAGAGATGAAAGCTTAGTTATTTCAAAAAATAGTATTTTTCAGAACACTTTCAAAGTAACATTTATTTTTCTCCATTTTGATTATTGTTGTAATTGAGAGAGAAATTATCCAAATATTTCGGAGAAATTGAGTTAATTTTCATTTATTAATTTAAGTGCCTAATGCATCTAAAAGCTGGATTTTCACGTTAGCACTAGGTTAATAATTTAATTAATTGAACTGTGTAATTTAGCTTTTAGATAGATACTTTGGATTTTGAGCTAATATTAAATTAATTTTTGAATTAAATTAAACAATTTAGAAGAATCTGGAAGAAAGGATCAATCTAGAGAAAGACTCAAATCTACAACTTCTTACTGTAAACTTACTTTATTGTTATTCTACCTAGATTATAGTTTGTAAACCTGACTTATAGATACTTAAATGTATCACTTGCTCACTTGCTTCAAAAAGTAGTCTCCTTGTCCAATAAATATATTAGCTTTGCATGACATTATATTTGTTTTTTTGTAGCCACTATTTCCTCCTATTGATTTTAATCAGTTTCCAGTATCTTAACCAATAGAAAAATTTCTAGTAATATGTTTACAATGGAAAAGTGAAATTGACAACATTTAAATTTAAAAAGTTCAACTATTATACTATTCACAATAATCTTTGTAAACTAAATTAAATCATTCTGTATTGAAACAGATAATGGTAAAAATTAATTGGATTATAAATTAAACCTATACATATCATTGCTTACTATGTATATTATATAGTTAAATCAAAAGTTAGATGAAATTGCTTGTAAATAACCAAATTAGTTTTCAAAATAAATGTTGTGATGTCATTTCCAGTTTTACTCCATGTGAATGTTCAGTCAGAAAGTGTTGGCTATTCAGCAATGAGATTATTTGAGCAAACTTCCTACTTGACAAAATTGAACTTTAACAAATTTATGATGTATTGAATGAATTTACTTTAGCTGAACTAATTTTATTCACCCTTTGACAGTCAAACTAGTTTAACAATTTAAATGCGTTTAACTTTCCTTGTGTGAATATAGTGAAGGAATCTAATTATGAAAGCAGAAAATTAAAACTTGCATGTATCATGTAGATGTCTTCACTAAAAATATTGTTTTCTGAATTGCATAGGTTTCATTTTGATTAAAGTTTCACTCAGAGTCAGAGTAGTTTTACTATATATATTGTATACATATACAGTAGAGCATTGATTTTCCGAAAGTCAATTGTCTGAAAGAATTCCAGTCGGCAAATTTAAATTTTCGCCAGTGCTGTGGCGCTTCAATCTTTGGCTATGTCTTGGGCTACTCAAATATTTTACGTTTTTGATACTAAATTAACATCTGAAGTATAATTTTTTATTGTTTTTATATTTTTCAATATATTTATTTTGTTTGTACAAAATAAAAAAATAATTTTTAACGATACAATAGTCTTTGTTAGGCTTAACATCGACGAAAATTCAACGCGAAGCGACACGCAACGGAGAAAAATTTCGACATCGGATACGTTAAACTATTTTTTCAGACGTAAATGAGTTATCCGAAATATCAGTTATCCGGACAACCCCAGTCCCAATTGATTCGGAAAATCGACGCTCTACTGTATATACACAACAGCTATTGAAACTTTGCTGAAATGCTGGCTTCTCTTATTTATTTTGTGTAATTCTTTTTCATTCATATATGGTGCTTTGTTAAAGTGCTACAAATAGAAGAATTTAAGTATTGTGAGATATGTTTTACAAAATGCCCAATTGTTTTGTTTTATATGGTCATAAAGCCATATGCTAGTATTTTGTCTATATGTTATCACTTTTAATAAAATTTATTCCCAGGACTATAAGTACGAACTTGAAAAATTACAAAAATACTTCCTATGGTTATCCATAGGAAGTATTTTTGTAATTTTTCAAGTTCGTACTTATAGGCTTCTCCCCTGCCTCAGCATGCAAAACATTACAATGTACCTTATAATGTACCCTAGACTTTAAAAGTTTTTTAGTCTCTTTGTACACCAGTAGAAAATAACGATTTTATGGTGGAGTTGACTTTTATTTGGAGGCTTCTGCCATGCTTCAGCAAGTGAAATGTTCTTTGAAGTTCATTCTTATTGTCCCAGCAATAAATTTTATTAAATGTATAATTTTTATAAGTGTTTGTGCCACCACCATAGGGTACATTGTAATTTTTTTTCATGCTGAGGCAGGGGAGAAACCTCTAAATAAAGGTTGACTCCACTGTAAAATTGTTATTTCCTACTGCTGTACAAAGGGACTCAAAAAAGGAGGACACTTTTACAGTTCATCCATAGAAAATATTTTTTAATTTTTCCAAGTTCATATTATCAGTTATTAAACAATTAATTTTAAGTGATAAATTCACTCATAAAACAGACCTTATACATTCAGTTTATAATGATCTGTTGACAGAACCAATACTACATTATAGTATATTAACCAATATAGTCTGTTGTATTTGTACTTAATTTTTGTAAAAGTAAAGTAACTTACTGATGATTTTATAAGTTTTCTGAACAGAGTAGATTCTTGGTAACCGATAGAAGTCATTTTTATTTCTTCACTATTTCAGGAAATAATAATTTTGATATTAGGCTATTTGATGGTGACTATGTCTTCAAATAGCTCATTACCAATACTAATATTCTAATGCGCTTATATTTAGCTGATACATAGCAGAAGCAAGATATAACCTGATGAAATGACTTTTTTGTAATAATATTTTAAACAGGATAACTTAAATAGAGCAAAACCAAATTAGATGTGATAAGGTTTATACTGTATTAAAAATTACTTATTGAAAAATTCTTTTAATTTTAATAAATATATTTAATTTTAAGTAACTAACTAAGCAAATAGATTTAAAAAATTGATAATCAAAATTTTTATATTAAGGGTCTATTGGTATAATATCTGATTCAGACACTAGTCATAGTGAATTACATACTGAAGAACTGCCAATTTCTTTTATTGAAGATTTGAAGGCAGAAGAAGTTAAAGGTAAATTTTCAATTAATTTTTAATTTAAGAGTTGAAAACTAGAAATACAGTGGAACCTGGTTAACTTGAATCAAGATAACTTGAAGTCACGTTTACTTGAAGTCATTTTCTTTTCCTGGTTGTCTGGAATAGGGATCTACGTGTTAAATCAAACTGGATAACTCAAATTTGTTGAATTGTTTAACTTGAATGTATTTTCATAACTCCTCAGAATTTTAATTTTCTGTTAAATAAAATATGAGGCAGGCTGAAAAGTAATGCACACATGCTTGTAGAACACGAACAAAAACAAATAGCAAGAACGGGCAAAAAGTACACTAAAGTACAATTCTTAAGCTTCAAAATCATAAATTTATTTTTCAACATAGCCTTGATGACTAACACATTTCTCCCAATGTGTAACAAGTTCTTTCATTCCATCACTGAAAAATTCTTCTGACTTTTCTTGAATTCAGGACTTGACAGCAGCCTTCACCTCATTGTCTGAGGTGTAATGATTACCCTTGAGGTCTCTCTTAAGTAGAGGAAACAAATAAAAATCACAAGGCACAAGATCACGGGAATAAGGAGGGTGTGGAATCGATTCAAACGTCAGGTTTCGTAGAGCCTCTCCTGTTGAGCGCGAGGTGTGTGGACGAGCGTTGTCATGTTGCCAGATTATTGGTGCCAGGCTGCCTCTAACATGCCAAACTCAACGTCAGAGGTGTTTGAGTCTGTATGTACTGAGAAGAATTAAACATTGCAACAAGGTGCAACGGTAATTATCTGTGGCAGTGATCGGACTTCCACTGCGTGTTTCATCAACAATTATGACTTTTCCAGTCTCGCAACCATGAAATTTTATTATCCATTAATTTACAATAGACCTATCAACAGCATCATCACCATAAACAGCCTTTAAACGTGATTTTTTCAGCAGTTAAAAATTCGATAACAGCACGCTGTTTAACTCGCATTGACATAGCTCCAGAACATGTCTCCATATTTCTGCTTCTCAAAATATACTGAATGAATGAATGCAACAACCTCAAACTGTGCATGCACATAGAGGGGGAATGTTACTTCCATATGCCACCTGGCATGCTTCTGAAAATCATTTCGTTTGTGCTCTACAAGCATGTGTGCATTACTTTTCAGCCTGCCCTCGTAATTAACATTTATTTATCAAGTAAACTAATTGAAAACTTTCTCTAAAGCATGGAAACTGCATATGACTAAAAATAAACATTGTCATTGACGGTGGGAGGAGTGGGGACTCCAGACAGCATGTATGATCTAGATACTGTACCTGCCATTCAAACCTTTTTTTTTATTGCCAGTGGATTTCTCCAACTAGCTGATGTAATAAATAAATGGATTTTTGATAAATTAATTAAAAAAAAACAATTACAGTTTGATTCTACATAAAACTTTTAACCTTTGTGGCAAAATTTCAAGATTATAACAATCATTAAGAGTGATGTTTGTGATAAAAAATAAAAAATAGATTGATTCTAGGCACAAAATTTTGCAATTTTAAAATTTTCTTGCTGAACATTTAGGAGTGAATGGATAAACCATTTGGGAAAGTCTTTCTCAGTAGCTTATTTAACCATTCAGTTGAGTGTTTTCAAGTTTCTGGATAACATTGAGATGTTTACATTGACAAAGTGATTCTACATCATAACACCCACAGAAATGTCATATTGATAGTTTATTATTGGTCACCAGTAACTTGATGTACAAAATCTTTATTTTTACCCGAACCTTCATAACATGAAAGTTTTTAATATAAAGTTTGAATTTTTTTTTCCCCAGTTAATTCAAGTTAACCAAGTTCCACTGTAATAATTTTTTTTTAAAGGTAATATCTTCATTTACCTAAAAAATTTCTTCACTCCTTTTTACTCAAAATGAATTTCAATGTTTCTGATTTTCATTAATCACAAAATAACAAAATGTCTAAAAGTATGAATTTTTAAAAATTACAAAAGTTATTTTACAACTCAATGGTGATTCTTAGGATTTAAAAGGTTAAGTGGGTGTCAGGATATGAGAGAACTGATTTACTGGACAAACAGGGAGCATCCTATTTATTTATTGAGTCTGAACCAGCTCTTAGTATTTCTTGCAATACATTTTCTAAGACTGTCAAAGACTGGACTGTATCTTCCACTTCTCTAGTAAAGACTAAAACAGAGTAAACAGTGTTTGGGTTTTGATTGATATTGTGACCAGTTTAGGTCACCTGTAAATATTTATGTGGATTGAAATGTCCTCCTAATGTTTTGTCATTTTGTGGCTCTGCTGAGGAGAGATTGCTGCATCATATTTGTGAATGTGCAGACCCATATCCATGTAGATTTGTTCATTTGGGTCTTCCTTTTTGAGCTCTGGTAATACCTTCTATCTTTTCTTTAGAATCTTCTATCCTTTGTTGTAAAAAGATGAGACTTTTGAAGCAATTTCTTAGGGACACACAATGTTTTTAGATCAAAGTGCTTTTGGCTTTGTTCCCCATTGTATAATCTATAATCTACTTTAATATTTGATCTATTATAGAATTAAGTGTTTTTTTTAAAGCTAAAACTTAATTGTTAAGAGTCTTTTTTGCAATATTGTTTATACTTCTACACATTTGGAGCTAGAACTATTTAAAATGACTAAGACAAAACCTTTCTCACTTTGCTAGAAACTCTAGAAACAAAGTGAGAAAGGTTTTGTCTTAGTCAATATTGTTTACACACATTAATTACAAAACAGTTTATCATAGAATAATAATTAATATACAAAACCTTGAACAGTTCAGTATTAAAAATGCAATATATATATTTCAATATTGGTAGCAAATAGTTGTATAGCAGTAAATGATAGGATAAGTTTTGTATAATATTTGAACTACATAACGTACAATTTTTCAGAAGGATCAGAGGCAGAATTATGGATAGAAGAAACTTTACCCAATTTAGAAATTTTACAAGAAGAAGAGATGCCATCATATCAAGATAGTCAACCTCCCACAGATGTAAGATTAATTAATTATATTAAACTGACATATTTTCAAATGAAATTTATGGATAAATAGGTAAATGATTTTATTTTAATTTGTTGCTACCCAAGTTAATTTTGGATTAAAAGTTTGTGAATGAATAATTATTTGAATTATTCAACTTGATAAATTCCAAAAGGTTTTGAAACATTTTTATCTTCATTTTCTATTAACTCATTATTTTATTCAAATTTACCTCAAAGAACCCTAGTAAATTTTTACTTATTTATTATTTATAAAATCATTGTCATTCTAATATTAGTATGATAGTAATCTAAAGATATACAAGTCTGTAAGTCAGATTGTTGATTTTATAGATGAAGGTTTCATTTTTATATGCTTGGATCATTGGTAAAATAAAAATATTTAAAACAAATAACAGAAATATTAAGACAGATTGAAAAGTAAAAGATCTTTATATTCCAGAGATATCTGATTTTAAGATTTCTACTTTTGGGGTATTATTGATTTGAGTTTGATTTGAACTTGCTTTTTTAACTGTCTTGAAAGTTAAGGACATTAGATAAAAAATTCTTTTAATCATTTTATTTTCAGAACAATTACAATTATAAAACTATAATCTGATACATTCAAATATTTGTTTAAGTGTTAAATAATAATTTTAATTCAATTAAATTCTTTTAATACTGTTCTTTTCTTAATCAGTCACTAACATCTGTTGCAACTCCTTTTTAATTTATTGAATTTTGCAGAAAATTAAAAAAACAAACTTTATTTTGTGGATTGAACTCATAGTTAAACATAAATTTTAATAAATCAACAGAACAAAATTTTTTTAAATTTTTGTTTAAAAGTCTAAATGTGTGGAAAAATATAAATTAATACTCAGATTGGAGGCTCCTAACAGAGAAAATTTTAATGATTATTTTTAAATTATTTCACATCTTATCGGAATAAATGTATTTTTACTCCTAGACCTTTATAACTCCACCTTTTATTTCAAGATTTTTAAAACTTTTGAAATTATTAGTATTAAAAATTGTCAATAATGAATTAAAGTTTTTATAGTTACTAATTATAATGTTTTCTTTTAGGCTTTTGCTGAAATTATACATGAAGAAAAGGAACCAGAAGGTATAAAAAATTTATTAATAAAAAGAACATAATATAATTATTTTATATATTGGCTTTTAAAATAAATTTTTTGAATTTTAATAAATATTTAATTCAAAATTTTAAATTGCCCAAAAATAGATATCAAATAAATTAAAAATTCAGGAATAAAAATATAAATATTGTACACATGATTTTCTATTAATACTTCATTTATCAGTTATAACTTTTTGTTTGTTGCTGTATTAAACTGTTGATTTTACTTTTTCAATTAAATAAACTATTAAATTACAGAGTGTTCTGTTAGCATTATTCAATCTTAAGTTACTTTTGACAAGAGTAGTAACTGATAATGTTTCAAAAGATCTGCAGTTAAATTTGCATTGTGAAAAGGTAGTGTTACATTTAAATTGTATTTATTGCCCTTTATGGTGTAATCTTTATATGCCATGCTATTTTGCAACTATAAAACAGGATCCTTGTAGGTAATGACAATTAAATCTTGTGTGTTGTTTTAATTTTTATGCATATTATTATGTTCTTAGAGAGCTTACAAAATTGTTAACCGAAGAAACTAAAGGAATATATGAATGAAATTTGAGATCTTCCTAATTTTTTAATGTTACATGTAGAAACTTTCAATTCACTCTAATTTCTTAAACAATACACACACAGTTTTTTTGTTATTTTTCTTAATTTTAATTTATTTGCATAAAATATGGCAAAAAAGTTGCTATTGAATTAATTATCCATTATGGGATGCATTATCTCAAATTTTAAGATAAATATTTTATAAAAATAAATTTAATTTTTGAGAACTTTTGTTTGTGTATGCTGCAAATAAATAGAGACACTGTCAAGTGGGTGACTGTGAGTGGGCAATGGACAACCAGGCACAGATATCTGGGAGACAAAATAAGAAATGAACAATAGACAAAATACAAATTGTTTTTTTGTTTTATTTATAAAAAAATCACTGGTCTCTTATCTGGTAAATTTAATTGTTGTTTTTTAAAAATGAGTTAAACAAGTTAAAAGAACAATTTTGTAATTAATAAACCTATTTATACATGTTACATTCCTTAAAACAAAAAGAAACATAAAATTCAAAACAAACTTTCTATTTTAAATTGATTAATTCATATTATAANTGATATATAAACAAAATTATACTATGGAATACTTTTTAGTAAACAAAATATATTGATTACTTTTAGTTTAATTTCAAATATTTAAAATTTAATATTAATGATGGGTCTTTTCTCTAGAAGATCTGAATGCCGAAGATGTATTTTTTCCAACTAAAAAACAAGAAGAATGGCAGAAAGATTCAGAACCAGAACAAGAAGAAGAAACTGTACCACATGAACCTAGTGTGATTGCAAAAGTTATCTTCTTTTTAATATTTTCCTTACTTATAGTTGCTACTGGTGCTGTTTTTATTGCTCTTAGAAATGCTGATAGTAAGTCGTCTTTTTAATTTTTAGTTTATTAATAACTACTGCAATATATTAAAATATTTTCAAATGATATAATTGAGTAATATTATTTTATATGGGTAACCTGATCTGTTCAAAATAAAGATAATTTTCCATTTGAAAAAGTTACATTAAAAATTTTCAGAAACTTGCAATTAAAAATCATTACACTAGACATCTAAACATTGTTCCGGATTAGAATTCTGTTAATTTTTAATTAACAGAATTCTAATCCGGAACAACGTTTGGTCTAAAGGTTAGCTTTCCATCTTGTCCTAATAATAATGATGTAAAAACCTTTTACTTTTGAGAAACAGTTACCATATTTTACGGACTATAAGACGCACTTTTTTCTTCAAAAAATTGCCTCCAAAATTCAGGTGCATCTTATACTCAAAATTAATATAAAAATGTCCAGTGTTTGATTTAAAATTCCTGCGTCTTAAAAATTGCCATATATTTGATGCCACGGGAAACCCATCTCTATCTGGCAACAGTGAATTCAACTGGCAGCAGCAGTGCATCGATGCGATGAACATGAGTTGCAGGGTGTCAGGATAGAATCGTCTGGATGTATGATTCCCACACTTTTTCTCTTTTGAAATGAGCAATGGTTGTCGCCATAGAAACTAGGATCATGAGACGACTGGTGGTTCTGAATCCACGACCGCGGATTGGCCGGTGATCATCGTGCAACCATCGTACAATCAGCAGACGTCCAATAGCGCTACTAAGCATTGATTGGTAGATCAGCATTTGCTTCAATCTGTATGAAAGGATTTAGGTGGTAAAAATGTTATTTTTTTTAAAAATTGCTTAAAAGTTAAGGTGTGTTTTATAGTCCGTAAAATATGGTAGATATTGGTACTTGTATGCTCAGTATTCATTTATTAATTAGTATTCATTACTAGTTACTCACTATGATATTATGTGTGTGGAGTAGATAGTAACAAATTGCTATTGATACTCAATTTGGGGCTGAAAAAATTTCTAGTTTGGAAATAATTTAGCTTATGATATACTGATTTATTTTGGTTATATTATTGATGGTCAAATATACCTTTGCTTGGTGAGGAACCTGTTTTTTGAATATAGTGTGGAGTTGAAATTTCAAACCTCTTATCTCACCATTAGACTCTGTTACACACAATGATTATGCAAAAAGGAGTAATGAATATTTTGGAAAAGAGTATTTCATTATTTCAAATCTTTGCAAATAATATATACAAAGTAATGATAGTTATTATTTCCACATTGCTAATTATTAATAATTAGAAGTCAATTTTGACTTCTTTTAGTGTACAGTAATACCCCAAACTTACGCGATAGGTGGGACCGAGCGGTAATCACGTAAGTCAAATTTGTGTAAGTCGGGGTATAATTTTGCATATAAATACATACAAATAATTTTTAATTGGGGCCAGAGACTAAAGAAAACAATAATTTAGAAAAAAATGTTTAATAAAATCTTAGATAATACATATGTATAACAAATTAGGCCTATATTATTTTACAATTTTTCACATTTACTTGATTATTACGCCATAATTTTAACATTGTTTCCATCTCAGCGATAATACTGTGATGTTTACGAATGATGCTTGAATTTAAAGATTGAGCATTTTTCACAGCTTCGAGAATTTTTTCTTTGCCTTTTATAATTGTTCTGAC